GCTGATGCCAGGATGCCAGACCAGAGGGTGAGGGAGGGTGGTGGTTTTTCTACAAGAACTGCTCCACCCAGGCCCCAGCCTCCTCTTCCCTCTGATCCCAGGAGTCCAGGCACTCAGCTTCCCAAGATCCTGGGCCTCAACCTTATCCTGTTGCGCGATGACTCACCTTATATCCCGTTTGCTGTTGTATCAAACGGAGAGGGGGGCCAAGAGGCGGTTGGGGGCTCTGGCTCCAGGCCGGGCAGGTCTCAGCCAGCCTGTCCCTCCCACATTCCTGAAACCTGCCCAGCCCTGTCCCCCCTCACCACCCCCACACACCTATCCCGCCTAAGCTCCGGGCCCAGCCGCAGCCCACACCCCAGCCCCTCACCTATGGGAAAGAGGAAGAGACCCAGGGACTGAACGGTGCAGGTGCAGAGAGAGAGGCAGAGACAGGAACAGAGATGAAGACCCAAGAGGAGAGACACACGCAGAGGTGGAGACAGGGATGGAGAGAGACATTTATCCATCATCATGGAGGTGGCCCTGCCCAGGGTGCTGGAGGCAAATGACTGAGCCAGGCCTGGCCCTGCCCTGGGGGGTGGCATGTGCTCTGTTGGGAGAAGCAAGGGCCGGTGCAGTATTACCCCAGGGCCCTGTGCAGCCCAGAGGAGGAGCCCTGAGCTCTGCAAGTGCAGGGAGGGTTGGATTTGAGACCCAGAGATGCAGGGAGAAGGGATGGAGTGCGAAAGGATCTCAGGGAGGAGGGGCTGGGGGCCTGGACTCCTGGGTCTGAGGGAGGAGGGGCTGGGGGCCTGGACTCCAGGGTCTGAGGGAAGAGGGGCTGGGGGCCTGGACTTCTGGATCTGAGGGAGGAGGAGCTGGGGGACTGGACTCCTGGGTCTGAGGGAGGAAGGGACAGGGGCCCAGACTCCTGGATCTGAGGAAGGAGGAGCTGGAACCTGGACTCCTGGGTCTGAGGGAGGAGGGGCTAGCACCTGGACTGCTGGGTCTGAGGGAGGAGGGGCTGGGACCTGAACGCTTGGGTCCTGGGGGAGACAGGACCCTGTCTGGAGGGCTCTTCCTGTTGGTGTGGTGGACAATAGCTCAGATGCCCTCTTGCAGATGCCCAGGCGGAGGTGCACTTGTCTGTGCCACCACTGGTGGAGGTGATGCGAGGAAAGTCTGTCATTCTGAACTGCACCCCTACGGGAGCCCATGACCATTATGTGCTGGAATGGTTCCTTGTGAGTGCTTGGGGCTGGGGGGCCTGGAGTCAGGGCACAGCAGGGCAGCAAAGGTTCATTCTCTCATCAGGGCCTAAGGTCTGTAGAGATCCACCAAGCCACACCCCTTGTTACAGATGGGGTCACTGAGTCCCACTGAGGAGAAGGGATTTGCAAGGTGCCCCATGTCTGGGCACAGCTGAGTCTAGAATGACGTTGACCTGCTCTGGACTGTGGGCTCTTGAGAGAGAGAACAGAGACAGACACCAAGAAAGCAGGAGAGGCTGGGTGCGGTGGCTCACGCCCGTAATCCCAGCACTTTAGGAGGCCCAGGCGGGTGGATCACCTGAGGTCAGGAGTTCGAGACCAGCTTGGCCAACATGGTGAAACCCCGTCTCTACAAAAATACAATAAAAAATACTGTAGTCCCAGCTACCCAGGAGGCTGAGGTAGGAGAATCGCTTGAACTTGGGAGGCGGAGGTTGCAGTGAGCCAAGATCGTGCCACTGCACTCCACCCTGGGGAAAAAGAGCGAAACTCCATCTCAAAAAGAAAAAGAAAAAAAGAAAGCAGGAGACTCGAGGGGTCAGGGAGGACTAACGAGGAGAGAAGGCTAGGCGCAGTGGCTCACACCTGTAATCCCAGCACTTTGGGAGGCCTTGGTGGGTGGATCACAAGGTCAAGAGATCAAGACCGTCCTGACTAACATGGTGAAACCCTGTCTCTACTAAAAATACAAAAATTAGCCGGGCGTGGTGGTGCGTGCCTGTAGTCCCAGCTACTCGGGAGGCTGAGGCAGGAGAATCGCTTGAACCTGGGAGGCGGAGGTTGCAGTGAACCGAGATCAAGCCACTGCACTCCAGCCAGGTGACTTGTCTCTCTCTGCTTGAGAGACAAGCAGAGAGGGAGAGATGGGGAGGAAGAGGGATGGGACTGGAATGAGATGGAGAAAAGGAGACAGGAAGAATCAAGAACTGATAGGGAATGGGGGCAGAAGGTGGAGAGGGACAGAGGGACAGAGGGACCAGGGAAACCCATAACAAGAGGAAAAGAGGCAGAGCCAGGAGCTGCAGAGAGAAAGGGCCCAGAGAGAAAGAGAGAGAGACTGAGGAGCGCTGGGACACCAGGAGCTGAGAGACTCCCGTGTGCCCGCAGACCGACCGCTCGGGAGCTCGCCCCCGCCTGGCCTCCGCCGAGATGCAGGGCTCTGAGCTCCAGGTCACAATGCACGACACCCGGGGCCGCAGTCCCCCATACCAGCTGGACTCCCAGGGGAGCCTGGTACTGGCTGAAGCCCAGGTGGGCGACGAGCGAGACTACGTGTGCGTGGTGAGGGCAGGGGCGGCAGGCACTGCTGAGGCCACTGCACGGCTCAACGTGTTTGGTAAGTGTCCACAGACATCCCCCGAAGGGAGGCAGGCAGGGAGGGGCACAGGGCAGGGGCTTCTGACGTGAACATCTTTTTCACAGCAAAGCCAGAGGCCACTGAGGTCTCCCCCAACAAAGGGACACTATCTGTGATGGAGGACTCTGCCCAGGAGGTACCTCTCGGGTGGACCTTGGTCCCAGGGTCCTGGAGGAGGAGAAAACAGGGCCCTGGACTCCTGGGTCTGAGGGAGGAGGGGCTGGGGACCCCTGGGTAATGAAGGATGATGGGCAAGGCCCGGCGAGGTGGCTCATGCCTCTCATCCCAGCATTTTGGGAGGCAGAGGCAGGCAGATCACCTGAGGTCAGGAGTTCCAGACCAGCCTGGCCAACATAACGAAACCCTGTCTCTACTAAAGATACAAAAGTTAGCCAGGCACGGTGGTGTGCAACTGTAATCCCAGCTACTCAGGAGGCTGAGGCATGAGAATCACTTGAATCCGGAAGGCAGAGGCTACAGTGAGCTAAGATCACACCACTGCACTCCAGCCTGGGCCACAGAGCGAGACTCCCTGTCATTCTGAACTGCACCCCTACGGGAGCCCATGACCATTATGTGCTGGAATGGTTCCTTGTGAGTGCTTGGGGCTGGGGGGCCTGGAGTCAG